AGGTCTAGCCCTGCTCGCCAGAAAGACCCCCCCCTTCACTACAACCCATGTCTAAGCAAAAGCTTGTCGAGAAGCGAGGGGAAGAAGGGAGGATATTGCTGGGGTATAAACGCGCCGCGGGGGTTGGGGTGTTGGGGGCCCCACAGGAGAGATAAGGTGATACATGGGATAAACGAATCCGCGGAGCCCCTACTGGTCCGCCCCAGGTTGGTGGTTGGTGTCATGGAACCAGCCACGCACACGCCACCCGCAACCAGCCGCGCTGCTCGTCGTGTGTGGAGCAGCTAAGGCAGCGGCATCGAGGTGAGCGTGAGTTATTCATTCGCGGTGTCTACTTTTCCATGTTGATGGACCATCGGCAACCAGCTAGCTGGCTGTGCGAGAGAGGAGCGCGAGCGATTTTGAGTTTTTTGAAGTTTTCGATGTTCCACATGGCACACACAAGGCCGCCACCTCCACTGCCAAAGGTGTCAGTACACGGTACATGAGTTGGTACTACGATAGCTCTTGTGAGGCACATGGCTTGCTCACCAACTTGTCTCGGGAGTGGGAGCGGGACCGGTGGTGTATGTCCCTGGAGAAAGCTGCTGCGGTGTACTTTTAGTGGCCATGACACGAGATTCGCACTGAAGGGCGGAGGAATTTTTATGATTTCGTGTTGGGAGATGATGATGGCGTTGTCGCACACCCTCCTACGTGGGCTGAATTCCGGAGCCCGAGTACTGCACAACCCACAGGGTGCGACGTCCAACCGATACGTGCAATGACATCTCATCCTCAATAGCGGTATTAATACCACTAGTGAGGAATAGCGGTATCAAGGTCTCTTGTCACTACCTACCGCTATTGAGGACTGTATTCTCTGTAATTCTATATGTTGGTATTTATTTGGCCGCTACACACCAGACGAGAACGCCGCGGTTTTGATCAATGCCATGATGGTGCCGCCTTTCAGTAGCACGGCCGGAATGGCGGGTGCGCTGCTGACACTATGTTTTTCCGTCCTGAAAGACCATCTAGGCCTCCCCGCTGCTCTCTACCATCAGATCATACGCATGTTTGCACTCCCGCGCGCTGCTGCTGTGTCTTGCAGCAGACCACCACACCAAAACAACAAGCAGGCAACAAACAATCGTTGCTAACGGGAGGGAGTAACGGAGGAGGAGGAGTTGGCAGACAAGTCCAGCGGACGAAGACAAGAAGGAGCCAGGCACGCCGCCGCGGCGGGACATTTTTCTGCTTTGTCTTCCTCATAAGTGGTGTGGGTGCACGTCGGGTTGTGGAGAACCAACCCGCCCCCTTGTGCTGCTTGCCTGCCGTGCTACACAAACAACTCGATCAGCGGCGGAGAAACTGATTGATGCAAGCCGGCGAAGGAGAGGGCGAGAGCGACAGCATGTTCGTCAACAGGCCGCCACCAAGGGGGGCATTCTCCACGCCCAGCAGGACGGGTGCTCTCGGCGGCTCGGGGGCGGGGGGCGGGGCCTCGCGGTCGAAGTGGACGATCCTACTCGTCGTGCTGCTCATCGTCGCCGGCATTTTCGGTGAGAGAGCGAAATACTCAACAGATAAAATTTCTCAAACTATAGATAGCAATGTGCGAGATATTTTGCTTGGGCAGTACTCATTTAGTCGAGTTTTGTTATTTGGGCAGTCTTTGTGGCTGTATTGCGAGCCACTCCGACAACCACCTGCCCGGCCTTCGGGAACAATTGTCTGGCTTCCACCGAGATACTGCTGTAGGTAGGTCAGGACATGGAGCTTGTTTATTTATTTGTTGGAGCGAGAGTCGTCAGAATCTCCCCGCAAGACGCTCTCTCTCACGGAAGAGACGTGTCTCGGAGACAGGGAGACAGACAACCTTGAGCCGAGAATGCTGACGACATGTTGCCGCAATGGCCGACAAAACAACACATGTCGACCCTGCCGAAACGAATGGGTGAGTGATGTGCAGACACCTGGGTCCATACACAGCTCCAACTTCTTTCTCGATTTTCCGGGTCATGGGCGAGGTGGACAGCCCGCCAGACCGTAAAAAGACTCAGAAGGAAGAAATCCGTCCCTTGTTTCCCCGGCTGGTGCGAAGGTGTAGAAAGTCCTTGCTGGGACGAAAGTACGGACACTCACAACACGCACGTTTTCCACGCGCCCCGGCGGCCGTGTTATCTATGTCACCGTCTCCGTGCAAAATTTGGGCTGCAATCAATTGTTCTTTGCTCTGTAGCACATCCTCACACGGATGGTTGTTTCATGTATCTGGAGATCTGGAGCGATGAGACGGAAATAAGACAATGATTCTGTCAACGGGGGAAGAGAAAAAACTGGGCAGGACATGCTAAACAAAACAGGAGAATTGGGCTGCTTTGAAAGAGTAACACGAAGCATACGTGCTTCATTTCCCGGAATGGTGTTGCCTTCTTCAATGTGGAAAGCAAGCTCTACAGAAAGGCGAGTCCTTCCTCTGAGCGACCGGACCGGTGTCGGCCCGGTATCGGGGTGCCGTTCCGTCCCGTTCAATGGAACCTTAACTCTTTTGTGGTTTGTGACGAAGATACTACGAGGTCGGTCTGGAAATGGGGTGGTCTTAACCCCGAGTCATGCGTAACATGAACATGTAGCTTCTGCAGACAGCACGTGCCCCTTTCTGACAGCTTTCACCTCCGGCGGTTTCAACAACGCCCCTCCTTACCTTGCTTGCCTCTGCGGCTGCCTCTGTCTCCGTCTTTTTTCTGTACCCTCTAGTCATGTGACTCGCCGAATACTTCACGGCGCTTCGCGCGTAGCGATGTGCTAGCCTGGTCCCTTCAAAAGCCGGCGTGCTCCGTCCCAACGTTGTAGAGGTTAGAGGTCATCACGAATACGGCATGCACGGCTATGAGCAGACGGTCTATGTCTGCTTCTTTTCCGCACGCGCTGTCAGTCGGTCTGTCTCCTGACGATTGTTCCCTCTGTCTATTGTCTCCCCAACCCCCCCTGCTGCTGCAGTGATGCCTAGGTTCGCAGGAGGGGGCGGCGGCAAGCTCAGGGGCTCGACGGCTAGCTCGCTGGCGGAGGGAGGGCCCTTCAAGCGGGACACGTGGGACATTCTTTTGATCTCGGACCTGGACAAGAAGGTATTGCCACTCCGTCGCGGCCAGCTTCACGAGGAGTCAAACCTGTAGAGAGAGGGAGGCTTAATGCAGAACTGCTGCATGTTGTTGTTGTTGTTGTTGTTGTTGTTGTTTCTCACATTAGCTCTAAAAAAAAAAGATTGGGAGCCCGTGGTCTCAAAACCCGGCATACACGACCCCACGAAGAAACAGAAAAAAATAGGGTACAAAAACCACTCGGAAGAGAAACAAAATGATAGAAAGAAAGACCAGCTACCGCACCAAACGAGAAAGAGCGTCGAGGAGACCGATCAAAATAAAATAAAAGGAGAACGGGGAACGCTTCCCACACCCGCCTACAACGCCGGAGGGTTCCGTGCCGGGTTCCCGCCGACCAGGCATCCCCCGCCCTGCACCACACCCCAGGGGGTGCAGCAAGACGGGGGGCGAAAAACAAACACATATATATTCC